TTTGGGGTTAGGGTTTAGGTTTTAGGGTTTAGGGGTTTAGGGTTTAGGGTAAGAGCGCCCCCCCAAAATTTGATAAACCTATGGCTCAGAAGATGGGAACTTCCCCTGGAAGGAGCTTCCGACCGGGTCATGGGGCAGACAAGGTGCTGACTTACGTGCCTCGGCTGCTGCGAAGTTGTGTGCGAGATCCTGTCATGTACTTGGAGGATCATGGGACTTAGTAAGTAAGGTTATAAGCCCCTTAATTGGGGTTATAAGTATAGTTACCCTCATTATAACCCTACTTACTAAGTCCCATGATCCTTTAAGTAAGGGGCCTCACAATTAGAGCCGGGTTTTGGGGCATATTCTAGCATAACTAGCGGGGACTAGAATTAATCCGACGTCATGGGGTTGCACGTTATCGAGGCCTTTACATAGCTCCATGATACTATCATTAGCTTTTTGGGGTCTAGGGCTTTAGGGTTTACAGGGCTTCGGGTGTAGGGCTTCAGTGGTTACTCACGGTGTTCAAGCCAAGATGCCAGGTTTCCGCAGGCGGCTTCCCTTTTGTTTTAGTCCAAAGAATCCGAGACGGTCGGCACATGAAGCGCTCCTCCGCCCTCCTCCGCCCCTAAGCCCTCGACTCCAAAAGCCAAATATATACTTTGGGGCTTAGGGTTTAGGGACTTTAGGGTTTAGGGTTTAGGGACTTCAGGGTTTAGGGACTTTAGGGTTTTGGGGTTTAGGGCTTAAGGCGTTCAGGGTCTTACCGAGCTCCAGTAAAAAACTAACTTTTGCAGATTTGGCCTGGCCATGCGCGGAAGCAAACGGCAGACCCATGCAGAAATCTGATGGACGACGAAGACAACCGTTTAGGGTTTAGGGTTTAGGGTTCCACGGGAAGCTTGAACCCTGATTCAGAATCCCGATGGCCTAAACATTCAAAATAAGGTGCCATTGAACTTTAAAAAACATCCGTAACCCTAAACAGCTTGAGCTCTAAACCCTAAGCTAACCGGCGTTTAGGGTTTAGAGTCAAACAGCTGGAGCCCTGAGCCAACTGGCTGAGGACAAGCACCATGGAAAATGGTGCGTCTCCGGCAAGGATTGTGCCCATTCCGACGTGGCTTGACCGACTTCGGGTTCCCCTTAGAGGGTCGGAATAGGGAGTCAGTTCGTGTTACGAGCCTGTGAAGCTGAAGTCGAAAACACCCCCAAGCCCAATTCTACTTTCAGACTCGAGTTTACTCCATGCGAGGTTTAAGTTTAAGATATCGGGTCCAACAGGGTTCAGGGCTTGAGGGGTTAGGTTGGGCGTGGGTTTGCCGTTGTTAGGGTGCGAAAGTTTAGGTTTTAGGATTTCAGGTTTGGATTCCAGGGTGTTTGGGGTCGAGGATTTAGGCTGTAGGAGTTGATTTGCGACCCTAAACCCTACACCTAATGTAGAAGCCTAAATAATTGCCAATAGTATTTTGGGAGTTCCTTATGATATATAGTATAGTATACCCCAAAACCCTATTCTAATTAGTCAGGGCCCTATACTAAACCTCGAAACCCCAACTCCCTGTCGGGAGAGGTGGTACACCCTTTGGACACGTCGTTGCACTCGGCCGAGTGGTCTCCCGGCCTTGCTTTGGGGTTTAGGGCCTAGGGTTGCTTAGAGGTTGGGGTTTCGGGTTTAGGGTGGTTTAGGGGTTGGGGTTCAATGTTTAGGGTTTAGGGGTTTGCTGGCTTTTCACAGCATTGGTGAAGGGTCCATAAACTATAAACCTAGCAGGATTGAGGACTCTAGGCTTTCATTTGTAGGGTTCAATCTCTATCCGAATGGCCTGGAGTTTGGGTTTAGGGTTCAGGGTTCAGGTTCACAAGTGTAAGGTTTCGGGTGGGTGGACCCTGCATGATTGCAGTACGTAGCAGGACATGACTAGGAGTTTCCAAGGACCCGAAAATCAACCCCGAGACGCTCGCACCCTTCACCGTAGAGATTCGCCGCAAAGCATTCGCCTGTCAGGGATCGGTTCAACTAGGGTTTATAATATAGCGGCCTAACTAACTACCGGTACTATTTGTGGGGTTCCTTATTATTATTATAGATATAGTATGATATACCTCAAAACCCTCACTCTAATCATTAAGGTCCCTATATTAAGCCTGAAGGTTGGGGGTCAAGGGCTTATGGATTCAGAGGTTGGGATGCGGGATGTGTACTGGAGTGTGCGCTCAGGTCCAGTTCATGCTCGTGGTCGGGTTTAGGCGTCTAACCCCCGACTTTATTACAGTACGTACCCTAAACCCTAAACCCTACTTAGGCTTATCCACCAATTATGGCTCTGCTTGCTGCGCCCCCTGCTTCTTGAGATGCCTCCCCTGTCGGGGGCGAGCTTACCAAATACCCAAAGCTCCTAATGTAGGGGCCTAAGTAATTACCAACACTATTTTGGGGGCTCCTCATCATAAGCTCTTATAGTAGCCCTTATAGAACCCCTTAAGGAACCGTTTAAAGGAACCCCAAAGACCCTTTTCTAATTATCAAGGCCCACTATAGTAAATCATGGCTCACGGAGCCCTAAACCCTAAACCCTACACCCTAAACCCTCAACCCTAAACTCTAAACCCTAAACCCTAAACTCTAGTTATTAAGGCCCCTATCGTAAATCATGGCTCAGGGAGTCCTTGGCTCTCTGGGCACATGGACTTGGCCCGCCGGCATTTCTTGAGCTAGGGTTTAGGGTATGGGGTTTAGGGTTTAGGGTTTAGGGTTTAGGTTTTAGGGTTTAGGGGTATTTCTTGAGCTACGGCTTTACCTCCCAATCCATGAGAACTGAGTGGTACAGAGGCATAATATAGGGGCTTCAATCGTTAGAATAGGGTTTTGGGGCGCATTATACTATAATTATAATCAGGAACCCCCAAAATAAGATAGGTAATTATTGAGGCCCCTATATTAGTGATGATGATGGTGATGATGATGCACCCTGCTGACTCCTCATTACTGTCTCACCCATTCGCCTCTGCTACTCAGGTACGTAGTGCCTGTCAGCGACTTCGACGCCATCTTCGAGGCAGGGATTACGGGGAGCAGCGCTGCAGTCATCATTGCCGGTGATGTCTCCCTTCTTCCACGCTGTCTCTATCCGAGAAAGCCACTCATTGACAATCATTGAGACTAGTGATCACGGCAAAAGCAAATTCAAGCATAACGACACTGAAACATGTGTTGCCAGCAGTAACACAGCAGTGAAGCAGATGCTAAGCAAGATTGGCCGTACAGCATCGCATACTATACATGAGCTACATGAGCACAGCATGGAAAGTTGCCCTAATGCAGATGGGAAGCACTAGCGGCAAGAATTGGCGTCACGAGCAGCTGCCTAAAATCCCTGCAGCCCCTTATACTCCAAACCCTAAAAGGGCCGACCCCTTCAAACAAAAAAATCAACCCCCTGATAGAGTCCCTATTGCCCTGGTAGAGCTCTCGAAACTCCTAGAAAGACCCTAAACGCAAACTCTAAAATAAGCCCTGAAACCCCGACCTTAGGACCCGAAAGCCTAAACCCTTGAAGCCTTAAACGGGTTTAGGGTGTAGGGTTTAGGATTTAGGATTTCAGGAGGCCCCCCTAAAAGCCCCAAAAAGCTTCACGAGGCCAAGGGTGCCAAGCCCCTGGCAACTGCAAAGAAGCGAAAGCCGCCGCCGCTGATCAAGCGGCCTGGTGATACAATGCAGTTTAGGGGCTATTTTCGGGGGTTCCTTATAATAAATACAGCATAATATATCCCAACACCCTATTCTAATTATTGAGGCCCCTATATTGAGCCTGAAGGGTGGGGGCCAAGGGTCTATCGATTCAGAGGTCGCGGCTCACCAAGAGTGTGTTTAGGGTTTAGGGGAGGAGAGAGGAGGCCCTAAACCCTAAACCCTAAACCCTAAACCCTAAACCCTAAACCCTAAACCCTAAACCCTAAACCCTAAACCCTAAACCAAGAGTTCCAGGGAGGTACGGCGGATGCAAAGCCGGGGGCTTCGTCGGGGGAGAGGTAGAAGTAGCAAGGCCAAACACCTGAAGCACTAAAACGAAACCCTGCATAACCCGAGGAGCCCTAAACCCTAAACCCTAAACCCTCTTGGCAATACTGGATGCTGCTGCGGATGGTAAAAGGTGCTTAAAAAAACCTAAACCCTAAACCCTTAGACCTAAGCCCTAAACCCTAAACCCTTACAGGACCTAAGATCCCCAGGCCCTGGGTCAGAGAATCATAGACCACAAGCCTGAGACCCATCCTCAAGCGTAAGCTTCAAAGCAAGACATTTTAGGGTTTAGGGTTTAGGGCCTTTGGGGTGTTTTAGGGTTTAGGGTTTAGGGCCTTTAGGGTGTTTTAGGGTTTAGGGTTTAGGGCCTTTAGGGTTTAGGGTTTACTACCAACCCCCCAAGCCCTAAGTTGTAGACCGACAAGCGACCCGGAACCCTAAGCCCTACATCCCAAGACCCTAAACCCAAAGCCCTAATAAACCTAAAGCCTAATAAACCTTCATAAACCCTAAATCCTAAACCCCAGCAAGCCTTAAAAACAAACCCTAACAAACCCTACACCCTAATAAGCCCACGATAAGCCCACGCCCGACAAAGCTGACGCCTTAGCATCTCCTGCTCGGAACAGTTCAAGCGAGGTTTGGCGCCTCGGATCCCGACTACCTTCCGGAATGCAAGGCCAGTATAAGGGTCATATAGGGGTTTAGGGTTAGGGGCTTTTGGTTAAGGGAGTTTTATGAGGGTTGTGCGAGGATTCGTTTGAGAGTGCTATAAGGCTTCTTGTACGGCTCCGTCGAAGGTTTTTTGTAACAGCTGCTAGAAGGGGTCGATAAGCGTTTCCTCCGTCCCTCCGTGGCTAGATTACTACGGTTTGGGGTTCACGGTTTAGGATTTAGGGTTTGAAGTTTAGGGTTTTGAACCCTAAACCCTAAGCCCTGTAACCGCTAAACCCTAAACCTTGCAATCCCTAAACTCTAACTCCAAACCCTAAACCCTAGACCTTAAACCTTATACTCCCGAACCCTAAGCCCGAAACCCTATAATCCCTAACCCTAAGTCAGCACCCCTAACCCTTAAACCCCAACCCTGGAACCCTAAACCCTAAACTCCCTCACCCCTAACCCGTAAACCCAAACCCCTGAACCCTAAAACTTGCACTCCCTAGACCCCAAGCCCTATGATCCCTAAACCTTAAAGCAAGCCGCCAACCTCTAAACCCTAAGCCCTAACCCCTATAACCCTTAAGCCCTAAACCCTATAACCTCTAAGCCTCAAATCTAACCCCCAACCCCGAAACTCTGAGCCCCAAACCTTGCACCGCCGGGGCCGTAGGTGCCCGCCATACTGCCTGCCCAACAGGGGCTGGGGAAGCACGAGTGATTGGGCAGTCACCAAAAGGCCTTCAACAAAAAACCTTGCACCCCCTGAACCCTAAACTTTGTAACCCGCAAGTCTTAAACTAGGTAGGCCTTTGGGGCATTTTATGTTTTCCCGTGTTGGGCTTAAGAGGATCTTATTTACGAATTTTTTTCAGAGGCTTTGAGGGGCCCACCTAGTAAAGCTAACCCCCAACCCCCCAACCCCCCAAACCCTAAACCCTAAACCCTAAACCCCAACCCCAAAAGCCTGAACCCCACACCTTGCACCGCCTGTTGCACTGGTAGGACGAGTCGCACCCGGGCACCCGCAAGTTCAAGCTCGCCGAGATGAACAAAGAGGCGGAGAGCTGCGGGTTTGGGGGGGCTTTTAGGGTTTTAGGGTTTAGGGTTTAGGGTTTAGGGGCTTTTCGGATTTTAGGGGATGAGGTTTAGGGTGTAAGTGTCCATTTCAGGCTTAGGGCTGGTAGTGGGGGGTTGAAGGGGTTGGGGTGTGAGGGGCTCTTAAGGGCTTTGCACGGGTTTAGGGCTGGCAGGGTCTAGGTTCCGGGGCCCAGACACCCAGACTTCAAATGGGGGTTTCCGGAAATAGGGGGACCCTAATATAGTACCCTAAATAGTACGATCCTTATAAGGACCCCCAAATAAGATAACACTTTGTTTTCGGAAACCCTCAAGTTACCTGCTAACAGCGTCGCCCTGGCCTCAGCTCAAGTCTCTAAGGCCCTCTAGGCCATAAGTCCCAAACCCGAGCCCAAATCACTTGTGTGGCAAACCCGAGCCCCCCCTTCCTTAAGCTTTAGGGTTTAGGGTCTTAGGATTTTAGGGCAAAAAGCCAAAATACCACAAGATCTAAAAGCTTGGTACGCTTCGATCAGGCCAAGAACTTGGACGACGAGAATCCCTGCAAGTGCCTAGTCCAGCGCATGAGTTCTAGGGGAGGCGTCGAAACAGCCATAGAAGCCCTAAGCCCTAAACCTAAAAAACAAAACCTATACCCAAAACCAACAAAAAACCCTACACTCTAGAAGCCCTAAGCCCTAAACCTCAAACCCATCGGGGAGACGTCGAAACCCAGTTCGCCAGCTAAATAGCCCTAGGCCCTCAGGCCTAAACCCCGGAGCCCGATACCCCAAACCCCATAAACCCGGCTAACATAGGGGGCAGCAACAAACTATTATGGGGATTCCTTCTTGTACTTCTAATGTAATATACCCGAACACCCTCTTCGAATTATTAAGGCCCCTACTGTAATCAGGTGGAGCCTTCACTTTAGCCTAAGCCCTAAACTCTAAACCCTTAACCCTAAACCCAAAAGCCTTCACTTTAGCCGGACACAAGAGTGGAGTCGCAATCGTAGTGGTGCTCGTCGGCCAAACGGCCGAAGGTTCAGGGTTCGGGGTTTGCGGGCTTAGGGTTTTAGGGTAAAGGGCTTAGGGCTTGTTAATTGCTTAAGAGGGTTCAGGGTTTTGTGCTGTTTTGTTCTTTGGCGGGGTTCATTCTTCAGGATGTAGTGCTCCGAACCCACCCCAGAGCCCAAAGGAACGTCTACGGGGTGCCGCCTACAAACCAGAAGATGGACAATGCAGACGGCATGACGGGCTGGATAAATGATCTGTGCCTCCGGCTGGATACACACTTCAGCAGTTCTGTAACTACGACTTGAACATTGCGGGTGGCAAGCCGTGCAAAGTGTTAAACATTAGGATGATTAGGATCTGCACTGAGAAACTCCTTAATTACCCAAAGTCGCGCACCGAAGCTCAGGGAATTCGCGACAAGCGCTAAATTCTCTAAAATCCCCTAAGCCCTAAACCCTAAACCCTAAACTCTAAACCCTAAGCCCCTAAACCCTAAACCCTTTTTCAGGGGTTGGGGTCAAGGCATCTTCCTGGTTGAGATTGAGGTCCGGAGAACTGCAGGTCCTGCACTTCCTGAGAGTCTCAGGTTTACAGTTGCGCTTGACAAATTCGGGGTCTCGAGGGCCCCCCGGGGAAGCGGAAGCCTAGAGAAATTCTCATCAGAGAGCCCGCCTGAATGACGAGAGCAACGGAAGTGCCGTAGACTGACTTTGAACCCCTAAACCCTGAACCCTCCGGGCCATGTTCCTCTGGTGGTTTAGGGTTTAGGGTTTCCTGTGTTGCAGTAGGACTGGTGAATCCTCAGGCTGAAGCCTCGTAAGCCCCAAACCCTCCGATTAGCGCTCTTTTATTCCAACCACCCTAACAAACCCTAAACCCGAAACCCTAAACCCTTATTTCCAGCGGCAAGAGAGCCTTTATAGATCTCAAAGCCCTGCAAAGCGCTTATAGAACGGCTATATCATCCATCACACCGGCCCCTAAAAGACCCCTTATAAAGAGCCCTGAGCAGAGCCCAAATTAGTACAAAGTGCCCTGAAACGAATTGACCATCCCCACACCCTACACCCTACACCCTACACCCTAAACCCTAAACCCTAAACCTACACCCTAAGCCCCAAATTAGAGCCTTCGTCGCCCTCCGAGGACCGGAAACATTGGGCCGGGCCAGGGCGGAGTGACCTACAAGTCCGTGAAAGAGTGCCGGGCCCTCTCAGGGTTCCTTTAAGGGCTGCAGGGTTAGGGTTTAGGCTTTAGGGTTTAGGGTTTAGGCTTTAGGGTTTAGGGTTTAGGGTTTAGGGTTTAGGGTTTAGGGTTTAGGGTTTAGGTTCGTTTTTTCGGCCTGTGGGGGTTCCTTGTTTAGGCTCTATAGGCTTCAGAGTTACGATTCGAAGTCTGGTGCTCACAGAGCCTGTGTTTTCGATTTCGAGCTCTTCGAGGATTTCGGTTTGCGGTCGAGATCATCCAATAGATCAGGATCAGTTTGTGATCTCTGCATTTCTCCGAGGCAGTGACCGTGACATCGTCCGGGACCTTCAGATGGCCAAGTGGAACAAGGACGCAAGGGGGGAAAGGTAGTGCCAAGGTTCAGGCAGAATTCGCACAAGTGTAGGGTGCACCCCATTAATCTGTTGAGCATGTGTGAGGCTTGAGTCAGTATGTCCGCGGGGGGCCATACTGCTGCTGCCGCTGCTGTCTCTGCTTTGCCGGCTGCGGCTGGATTCTGAGCAGGATTTGCGCCGCAGCAGAACCGCACCGCAATGTCTAGACTTTCCGTGCTGTTACGGCACCAGTCCTGCCCGCCGTTGCATCAGACATGAATCGGCCTCTGGAAAACCCACTGCACCTGTTCCTCGCGGTTGTTTGTCCCGCCCGTGGGGATATGCCGGTCACGCCCGGCAAGCCCTGAAGCCAAGAGATTTGGTTTAGGGTGCAGGGCCATAAGATCATGGCATGTTTGATGCTTTCATGTTCCGCCTCGATCAGCAATTGCATGTTACTGAGATCTCTCTCAAAGCCTGAAGTACGAGCCCTCGAATGAGAGCATACTGATCCCAAAACCCTAACCTAAACCCTGAACCCCTTTCCTATTCACACCCCTTTGAGGCGCCTGTCAAGATCTTATGAAACCCTTCTATGTCGGAACCCCCAAAGCCCAGTCACCATCTAAGGCCCAACCACCAGTCTGATTTGAGGGTTTAGGGTTTAGGGGTCTAGGACCCCTAAACCCCTAAACCCCAAAACCCTAAACCTTGAACTTCAATCCCCTAAACCTCTAAGCCCTTGATCCCAAAGGCCTAACTCTCAAAACTGGGGCAGCACCTAACCTCTAGGAGCCTTAATAATTAGAATAGGGTTTTGGGGCCGATTATACTATACTCATAATATGGACCGCCCCCCCCTAAACCCCAAAACCCTAAACACTAAACCGGTGGCTATTTAGGATGATCTTCCGCAGGCGCACTTTGACTCAACGCTGCCCATGGACTTCCTCAAGGACGCGGGAGGGGTGTTTAGGGTTTAGCGCGTGCGGCTTTGGGTTTAGGGCTTTTTTAGGGTTTGGGGGTTGGGGTTTAGGGGGATTAGAATCGGGTTTTGGGGCCCATTATGCTACCATTATAAGGACCCCCCCCCCAAAAAAAATAGCATAGATAATTATATGAGGCCCCTACATTAGGATCTTTGTGTCAGGGATTTAGGGTTTGGAGACGGGTTTCGGAGCCTTAGCGACTGAGATGAAGTTTCGGCGAGCGCAAACTTTGGGAATCGAAGATGCCATTGCATTGAACCCTTTAGACGTTGCAAGAGCAACCCTTAAGCCTAAACCCTTAGACCCCTAAACCCTAAATTGAAAACCCCTAAACGTCTAAACCCAAAGTTGAAAACCCTAAACCCTAAACCCCTAAACCCTAAACCCCTAAACCCCAAACTCTAAACCCTAAGCCCCTGACGTCGCAAGAGCCACTGTTTGGGGTTCAGGGTGTTGGGCTTCGGGGATTCGGGGATTTCCAGACTGAGGGTGGTTAGGTAAAAGCCCCCCAAACTCCCCAAGGCCACTGGCCCACTTTGGGTTCAGAGTTCAGGGGTTTAGGGGTTTCGGGTTTGGGTTTTTGGGTTTCGGGTTGGGGGCTTAGGGTTCTGGGTTTTGGGTTTTGGGTTTAGGGTGTTGGGGTTTAGGGTTTAGGGTTTAGGGGTTTAAGGTTTTGGGTTTAAGGTTTAAGGTTTTGGGAGGATATGCTGGCTGGCTACGCTGATGGAGTGCCAGATGTTGAGGCCGGAGCACCTGCAACGCGGGGCCCTGCTTCTTTGTTTCGGGGGTAGCGGTAGCAGCAGTAATTAGCAGCAACTATGGTGACGGAAGCGACAGCAACTGCAGCAGGAGGAGGAGGAGGAGGAGGAGGAGGAGGAGGAGCAGCAGTAGCAGTGGCAGCAGCAGCAGCAGGTCTTGATTAGACGTTTATCTGTCGAATCATGTAACAAACGACTGAAAGTCTGAGAACTACACCACGCATTTGTTTCAATCCATTGTGTTTGAATGTTTTGTGTTCCGCTTGCACTCCAAATAAAAATTGAGACTTTCCTTACATTACCACTACATCTACAGTAGTAACTCTCATGGTGGCCTGGTTCCTGGTTTCCTTGTTTCGCTTAATTAATGAAGTGATGCATTCACTTCATACTTACGTTCCTTATGTAAATTTTGCGAAACAGGAACCATGGAATCTGGAACAAGGTTGACCGGTAGGCTGTGGCTTGTTGACAGAAAGACTTGCTTGAGGAAAGAGGGGGAGGGCTGGGGGCAAAAGCGCCGTCGCTGCCTGGCTCCGGGCGTTTGCATCTCAAGACATTTTTCCGAGGCTAGACTGCATGATTGGATGTATGGCAATGTATGGTCTCAGGTTTTACCTTCATACTTTTGCGTTGCAAAGTCCTGACCCCCAGGCAGCACACTCTCCCCAAACGAGGCAAGAGAAGCCTTGAACCAGGAAACCGGAGCTCTCGATCCCTTAGCTCCAAAAACTTTCGTGGGAAATAGGCCATGTGGCATGTCCGGAGCCTAAAAACCTAAAACATAAACCCTATAAAAGACTGCAGAGTTAGGTGACCTTGGGGTTCAGCTTCCCCCTCAAGCAACCCCCATCACTTGTCGAGTCCTTAAAGGAGTCTCAATGGAGCTCGAGTTGGTTCTTGAAAAGGCCCCCAATATCAGTATATCACAGATCACAGGCTTTCAGCCTCATAGTAGCCCTTACATGATCCCCTCTAAGACCCGGGTCATCCGTGATCCCCATTCTGACTTAGGGCCTCTACATTACAGGCTTTCAGCCATGTTCTCGCGGCGCAGATGGATTGCGGGCCACCTCATGGAGAAGAAGGAGATCATGGCGGAAGCCCAATAGGGTACTCCAAACCCCAAACCCTCCAAGGAACTTCGGAAGGAGCTCACACCCAGGACCCTAGACCCTGAAAGGAGCTCTACTTGGAGGTTCGTGGGTAGTTATAAGTGGGGTTTTAAGTCCTTTAATATGGGTTATAACTTATAACTATCGTTATCCACGCAATGACCTTGCTTATCACCACGCATGAACCTCCACGTAAAGAGGAGCTCAAACCCAAGGCCTTTGAGCCCTAAACCCTAAGCCCTAAACCTTAAACCCTGAACCCTAAACCTTAGAAGCCATAAACCCTAAACCCTAAACTTTAAAAGCCGTAAGCCCTCAACCTTAAATGCCCTAAACCCTAAACCCTAAACCTTAAAAACCGTAAGCCCTAAACCTTAAAAACTCTCAACCTTAAAAGCCCTAAGCCCGAAACCCTAAACCCTAACCCGAAACGCTAAACCCTAAACCCTAAACCTTACAGAGGAGCTCAAGGGGCTCATTCGCTCGGTGGAGAAGCATCCGCCCCCCATGTACCAGGCTCGGGAGGTTGCACTTTGGACAGGGTTCTCTAGGGGCTTCACAGGCTTTAGGGTTTGGGGGTTTAGGGGTTTGGGGGGTTGGGGGTTTAGGGTT